CTTAATCAGCTCAATGCTCCTCAGGGCACTCGTGACCGATACAAGCCGATAGGGAAAAAAGATACAAGGGCACTAACTACGGTATACGATGGCAACGCCCGGGGTCAAAGAAATATTGCTCTGCCATGGTTCTGGAATATGGCTGTGGCTGATGATTCGTCGGGTTCAACATACATGGAACAAGGTCAGATCCAGTCACTTTTATTACTCTACATGAATTGAAACCAGACAAATCAAAGTATATCGGGTGAATTGGCTCAGAGCAAAAGCTCGATATGACCGGTGGTCAGAAGAGCATACCTTGATCCCAAACGAAATGAACTGGACCCGCCTCTATTTCATCAACAAAGCAAGGGAGTGGGCTGGGCTGAGGGACTTGGTGCCAGACAAGCCGGGACATGTATGCTTTGCCGAGGGGCAAATCAGTATGTGGAAAGAACTGGCCTTCCAGGCCACCAAAGAATTTATAAATGCCGGGGTCATGTGCGAGGCCATTGCATTACCTAATCCTAGTTGAATCAAACTATTCTTTCTCATTGTCCACCATGTATGCAAAAGAACACCTGTCATTTGACCCCCGCCGAGCAGAGCAATGGGTTGACGAGGTGCTGAAGATACGGCCTCCAGCTTTTACCAGAGATTCTTCTGTAGTGGCTAATCTCCTCTGGAAGGACGAGCAAGAGTTCCAGGAGGTACTCTGCTACTGGTCCTCTCGATTCAGAGCCATTTTGACATCGAAGCTCGAAAACCCCATTGACCCCGAGTTCGAGAATTGTTGGTTGGAGTACATGTCGGCCGAACAGGTGAGCTTTATTTTGCCGCGCCCGGCTAACTCATTCCTTTGGTTAGGTTTCATTATAGTGATTCTCGGCATGGCATGCACCTATGGGCATAAAGTAAAACTTTGCCCCAGATTTTTTCTCTTTGAGCTCACCTTCCTGCCAGTTTATTGTCCCTCCCTTTTTAAAGTCCTGTCTCCAGGGTAACCCACTGCACCCTCAGGAAGCCTTCATGGATGACCATATCCGGCCTGCATACGAGTTTGCATGGTGGAATACTCGCATCACCTTTCCACCAGGGGGCATCGACCAACTTCTGACAAGGTCATACAATTGGTTCAGATGGATGGCAAAGGGTGGTTTGCCAATCAAGTACCCGGACACTGACACTCCATGCTGACACTGGCCGAAGTTCAGCATATCAAGACCCAGTTGGAGAATGCTCGGGATCGTCTCCTTGAACGTATCAAGCATGCTGAGGCTGAGGAAGAGTGGGTCACCAATGAGATTTCGGTTTGGGAGGAAATTGTACAGCAGTCTGCTTTTATTGACCTAATGAGGTATCACAAGAACTGGTTTTCAGCACATAGAAACCCAGGTGGAGAAAGCCTGGGATTGGGTTCGTCAAGCCCCCCGTCTTCTTGAACATATTGGTGCTGAGGCTGAGCAAGTTTGGGTCAGATTTGTAATTCATTATTTATTAGTTACCAGACAAATTATATATCAAGTCTGCCATGGTCAACCACTGAGGCCTCTTCACCCCAAGCCTTTCCCCAACCTTTTTGTGCCAAAAGTGAGCTAAACAGGCCCGGTCACCCAGCACAGGACAAACACCATGTTGTAAAACATTGCCGGCCAAGGCAACAACCGTCCCAGGGTCATAAACAAGGCTAAACCTGAGCCCGGCTAAGTGACACCGGCCTCCTGTGTAGTTTCTGATGGTGAGCAACAAGTCAAAAGACTCCCTATACCCCTTTAGATCTCGGTGATTGATCGTCTCTCAGTTCAGGATGACTGAAAGACCGGTGAAGGGAGTGGCCCAAACGCGAAGAGCAATATTGATAGGATCGTCCAATGCCTCGGCATGATTGGCAAGCTTCTC